CCTGCTTTTGGATTTTGAGGGCAAACCTTCAAGAGATTCCGATCAATCCTGTGGCCAAGTCCAAGGTCCAACCACTGTAGGGCTGATCCATCACCCATTTTCAGTTTTCCATCAATGTAAACATCCAAACGATCTCCCATCCAGAAAAAAAAAACGCCCAGCCTTAGAGGCTGCCAGTGGCCAGCAGCACGGAGAATCGCTGATGGCAAAAGCGAAGCGCGGGCTGGTGAAGCACCCATCCCAAACAGGGATGTTCCTTCTGAGACCAATTATTGCCCCCAATTAACCCATTGTCATGTGAATCTTCAGCAAGCTGTTGTTCGAATCTGTGGGGACCCTTCATTCTGAACAGCTGATACCGACCGCTCAAAGTCCCCCAGCAGGTATTGCTAAAACAGGGTTATTTTCTTCTCAAAGCAATGTGGGTAGCCGACTGCCAGTTACTTTTGAGAAGAATGCCAGTTGCCAAGAGATGGCCTTTTCGGTGATACAACTGAAGAAGTTCCTGAGCCACTACTTCGGGACCAACGTCGAGTCCGAGGATGCCTTTTCTTCATACCTCCTGTCTTCCTTTCTCGAGGATGGGGTGGGAATGTTCGAGATCATCATCACCGTCATTCGTGACAAGGAGCGTCGGTTGCTGCCTGGTTCCGCCCGCATAGCGGCGGTAAGGTCGCTTGAGATCGGATCCGACACTGATTACCGGGCATTTCGTGAACGATACCAATACATGCTCTACGAGAGCCCTGTTTGTCTTCCTATCACCTCCAAAGTGGTTCCCAAGACGCTCTACAAGGTGGTGCCTCTCCGAATGTATCGGCTCTACGTAGAACGTGGGGCGATCATTCGGGGTGGGCGAGCTCTGATCGAGCTCCTTCCCTCTCGGCCGGATGAGTATCAATCCCTCCGCGATCACGGAGAGTGCCCCAACGACACTGTCGACCGCATCACCGACAGCAACGTGACGGAGCTGCACACCTCGGGTCGACGCCAAAGGAGCGATCCCCGATATGTGGTCATGGCTATCGATGCACGTTTCTTCTCCATGGAAAATGGGGGCATGCATATTACTCGTCAGGGTACCTTTGCATCGCGCGAGAACATCGCGATCGGGTACTGGAGATGCGTCTACTTCAAGGAGGACTGCTCCATCATTTACCTGAGGCCTTGGTGCTATCCGCCCAACTTCCTCAACTCCTATGAGTGATAACCCGAGGAAGTGTCGGGACGAGATGGAGAAGTACCATCAGATCACCAAGACGGAACATGCCCGCGAGGTGGTGTCCGTTCCATGCCATAGGTGCATGACGGCCCATCCGGTCGGCGCTCACCTGTGCACCGCCTGCTACCTTCCCATCTTCTACGATGGCGTCCTGCCCACCGGAGACACGAACGGCGGCCCTCGCACGATAGCGAGCACTGACGGGGTGATTCCTCCCTGGCTGGCAAAATACGAGGGCTTCGTCCCCGCTCTGTGGAACAACTCAGACGCCAACGCCATCGGAATGGCCCTCTACTCGCAGAGTCCCGCCGTCGATGCCCGGTCCTTGTTGATGTCTGGGATGCGGCCTCCTAAGTACCTTGACAAAGAGGACGTGGATGGCATTTTCCGAAAACTTCACGACTCGCTCCGAGACGACGAAGTCCTTGACGGCAAATACCGTGACACGGTCGACAACAACGTGGAAGAGTGGGTAGCAAAGGCGATCTTGGTAAGGGGTCTGGCCTTCAACGGGAGCTCCGTCCCCGAATTCTTCGAAGAGTATGAGGGATATGCGGCTGAGTGGGGCAGACGCCTAACCACCGCAAACTTCAACGCCAACCGATGCGGTTTTTACACGTCCTACTACATTCTTGAGGCCCATATCATTGGGCTGAGAACAGGACACCTTTCTCCGGTACTCCCCAACGATGTGTCCGGGGAGGGATTCAAGTTCCAGGTGGGGCTGCTCGCACAGCACTGCGGGATATTGCAGGCCATGCGGAGAAAGGCCGGATTCGATCCTGCCGCGCGCCTCAAGCGGGCTATGGACGCGATACGGGAAGGCATTAAGAAGGGGTATGTCTACACCCTCAACGACCTCAGCAGTATGGACGACCTGATCTACCGGACGTCCACCGTTGCCTACGACACATGCTTGGCCGACCGTCCTCAAACCCAGGATGACATCAAACAGGAGCTGTCCGACCCTGTACCAAGGAAGTACCGCTTCCGACCCCGCGATCGCCATCGACCCGGAATTCGCCTTACACCAGGCCCCGGCGTGAAGGACGAAGACGAGCCCGACTTTGCTGGATCAGCGGAGGATGAGCTGGGATCGGATGGTTCTTCGCACGAAGATGACGAGAAGCCTGACGACCTTGACGAGCCCATGGGCGACGACGAGGAGGAGATCCCTCCCCCTCCGCCACCGCCTCCGGCTCCTCCTGCGCCGCCTGTCCCGGTAGAACCGGAGACTCCCGTGGTGCCGCATGCAGGCGTCAGTTCTGGCGATGCTGTGCCAACTCCTCCTCCTCCTCCTCCCGCTCCCATTGCGGCAGGCGTTACTACGACTGGGGATCCGTTTGAGGAAGAGGACATGGCCATCAATACTCGTGTCCCTGACACCGAGTCCGAGCTGGAGGGTGAGTCCGACCAACCCAAGGCCAGGAGGACATCTCGTGGTCGGGTCCCCGCGCCCGAGAAAGGGCAGGGGGGCGTTCAGGTCCCGCCTAGCGGGCAACCCAGCTCTAAGAGCATGGCCCAGCCTGCCCGTCCATCCCCGGTCCCCGCGAGAAGCGGTGTGGAAGGTGGGGAGAGAAGGGGCAGGACCAAGGGTTTCTACACCCAGAAGGATCCTTTTACCGGCGAGGACGCGACTCCCCGAGTTCGTCTTCGATCGGGCGGTCCCGGAACTCCTGCGTCCCCACCACGGGATGCCACCGGTTCCTTGGGCGGCCATGGCGGCTATGACCCGCGCGATGACGACAACGACGAGTGGGAGCTTCCCCCGGGTGTGCCTCGGACCACTCGTGCGGCAAATGAGTCGCGGCCCCGCCGAGATGACGATCGGTCGAGGACCGCGCTTGGGGCCCGCGAGGATCGTCGCGGTCCTAAGGGTGAGGGGAAGGGTCGAGGAAAACATCGACCTGGCAAAGGTGGACGCGAGGATCCTGGCCCGCCCCGACAAAGGGATGATCGTGGCAGGGATACCCGCGGAGGCCGACGCGATGATCGCCGACCTCCTCCACGTCATGAGGAGACCTCCGAGAGGCGCGGCCCGGGGCGAGATGAGCGCCGCGGACGTGATGACCCGGGTGATGACCGTCGCGATCGCCACCGGGACCGGCGCAGGGATGACCGACGTCACCAATCAGATCCCCCTCCGCCTCGCCGACCTCCGGCTGGTGACCACAATAGGGGTGGTGGTGAGGATCGCCGTCGGGATGGAGGAGGTGATCGAGGTGACCGTGGCGGACGCCGGAGAGACGACGTGCCCAGGGACCGGGAAGAACCTGGTTCAGGGTGGTAGGCGGGTACCGCAATCAGCATCCGCCTTAGAAGGGCGAGGATAGTACGTGTGTCGCCGAAAAACGCGACCGCGCCGGTCATCCTCTCGCCCATGCGGCGCTGCTGGGGGTGATGGTCTCCATTGCCCTGTACCGCTGATCCGGCGTTGCTCGTGTCCCTCCCGCACCGCTGCCGTGCGCGCCGGAGACGGTTCCCCTGGCGATCCTGTGTGAGGCTGTGACCGCACTAGAAGTGCCGGGCCGGCCATAGCCGGATATTTTCACACCAATTTCGGAACTTCCGTTTCTAATTTCCTCCCAACTCGACTACTCTTCCAACCGCTCCACGGCGTGCAGTGAGGCGCGGTGATCCAGATAGGATCCCCCTCCGCATGGCATCGTCCCATGACAACTCATGAACGGCACGAGAGGAATCTTCGTATGGTTCCTCCAATATGTCTTTGTTCACTCATGTGGTCCACTCGTCAAATAATCCTGTCGCCCCGATAATTCGGGGTGGTGGCGGGATTTTAACTGGGGCCCAGGTGATGCCGTTTGGCTCACCTCTGAGTTGACACCGGCATTTTTGGTTGGTCCCTTTCGTCGTGAACTCAACTGTCTCGCATCCTTTCTCTCGTCCAGATATCGGATGAGGGGGGTGTGTTTTGTTCACGTGTTGTTTCATCATGTGGCAAAACGGCCGAATGGCCGTTTGGCTCAAGTTTTCCACCTCCCGACAGGTCTTCTGCGGTAAAACGTCAGGCGCCATAGTGCGGCGGTCTTCCCCCTCATTAAGTAGTTTGCTGCTTGGTGCGGGATAGGGCTGGCACTAGGAGGTACCTGGTTTTACGGCGCGGGCGCCCTGGGCTTGGTGGCATACTTCCCGATTTACTATTGCAACGTGTTTCCAAACCTCCCCAAACATTTTCCTCTTCTACTGTCACATCCTCAACCCGGTCATCATCCACAGCTTCATCCGAGTTGTGTTTCCGGGTGCTGTGGGCACTTTGTGATCTACCTTGTGCTCATTTGCTTCCCTGGGCTACTTCGTGTTCGCCCAAAACCGCAGTTTTGTTTGCTGTTTTGGGTATTTAAACATTGAAGTAGTGAATGTCAGAACATTTCAATTTCTAAGCAGTGAAATTCCTTCGGGTGTTGGATGTTGTCAAAATGTTCAACTTGAAAATTGTAAGTAGTGAATCATTTGTTGGATATTCGGGAAATGGTCAACCTGTAATTCAGTCGTGATGTTCAGTTGGTCTATCTTTTGGTTTTCGGAAATGTTCAACCTTTAAGCACTTATTGCCATTCTGGTTTGCCCCAAAATTAGGGGGGTGAACTCTTTTTTGGGCATACCCAGAAAAAAAAAGGAACTCCCTGAATTGGGCAGGTTACTCATGTTCTGGCTTGAGGATCCAGGCAAATGCCAACCAAAGGGGGGCCACCGTTTTGAGAGTCATTTGAGAGCCCCAGATCCCCACTTCAGCCACCGTCCCCCGCCGTGGGTTGAGGTGGCGCTCAGAATTTTGCGCCCTGCAAACGAGCAGCTGCTGCCGCCAGAGGAGAACCTACCTTTCCTCGTAGCAACTCGGCGATGCATTAAAGTGACAACAAGCTGCCAAGAAGATGAAACAAACCAGGCAAACAAAGTCGGTAATTACCCGATATGTTGTTTGCCTTTTTTCAACCCAAGCAAAAAGACAGGGGCTCCCGATATGTTTTGTTGCAGTTGCTTTGACAACCATGCAAACAAAGCAGGGTTCCCGAAAAGTGTCTCTTCAGTTCCTTTTTAAAACCGAGCGAAAAGGCAGGGTTCCCGATAGGTTTCTTTGCAGTCGCTTTTAACACCAAGCAAAAGTCAGGGTTCCCGATAAGTGTTTGTTGGTCCCTTGTATACTTACATTGAAAACGGTATATCCAGCCCAAGCCAGCCATGTTGTAAAGAACCTGACCCGTTTGCTAATCAATTCACTCCCCGAGTCGGACTTTCAACTTTGTGGGAAGACCATGTTAGTGGCAAAAAACAGGTTGTGTGACTTTTTCGGTCAACACAATAGCTTCCAGATCCCCTTTCATCAAAGCCCTCCTGCCTCCCAGAGTTCCAGAGCAATTCTAGACTTGGCCAATCTACTCACGTGAGGCACCTAAGGTCCTGCTTTACACGGGAACGACAGGGGTTTGGGTGCTTTAGTTTCATGACATGTATTCGGGGTCGAGGCTAGGCTGATTGGATCTTTAACTTCTTCGACTTTCGGGGGAAGTAAACCATATTTTCCCACCCCCCTGGGTCCCAACAAATCCCAACAACTTAAATATGAAGGCCTTGGATCCCGCAAGACCTCACAAGAAAGGGTCAAGGAACCCTCGGGCGCTAGCCTGCAACAAAATAGGCTGAGGTATCATCAAACAGCAACCTCCTTTGAACCCTTTTGAAACCCTAGCCCGCTGCGCCTTTTTTTTTGCTCCAGAGCCATAGCTTCCTTCTAATTGCTTAAGATAATATCTGTTTTGCCTTGTTGGTTTGTATTGGGAATCTATTACTACTGGACATATGCTGTTTTTTCCAGGGGCGAAAACGCAAATTGAAGCTTCCAGGGGATGAAGCCCTTCGGAAGTGGGTAGCCCTCAAGGGTGTGGTGCGAGTTGTGAGGCCCGTAAAAGGATTGCAAGCGATGCTCGAAGACTCCACCGACCGGGTCTCAGACCAAACCCCAAAGAAGAATTCCAACAGTTAAGCCTTATAAACTTATAGAGCTTTTTTACCCTTGATTGTTGTGGTATCCTTACTCTGGAAAACGGTTTGGATGTGCTTTTTGTGGATATCGCATATGTTTCTTCCCCCTGTTGGTCCCTTTTTACGTAGTACGTTAGTACTCTTGTAATATTCTACAGGGGTGGATCCACAAAAGTAACGTAAAAAAAATGGTTTTCTAGACTAAAGGTATGTTTTCAAGGGTTTGGCTCCAAGGGTGTTCCTATTACGCCCTGACGCGTTTTTCTAGGGAATCCGCATATTCCAGCCGATGTCCAGATAAAACCTGGTTATTTGGGTTTGTTTGGGGAGTTTGGATAATCTCCCTCCCCAGGGTGTACTCCCAGGGTGTAGGACAACCACTAGACTGCTGGCACAACTTGCGACTTGCGATTGCTCAGCAGGGAATGAGGGAATGACCCCCCATCAACCATCCCAAGTGGTTTCCTTTCAGGGGACCAAAGCCTGGGTTCATTCGTTTCCACATTCCCTGCTTGTCGCACCGATCGCAAGTGGATTTGCTCGAGGAGAGCCATAGCTCCGATGGCTCCATCGTCAGCTTGGACGTGAACGACCTGATGCGTCGGACCCGGCAGCTCATTCTGGAGGACAGCTTGGCTTCGGCCCAGCTGACTTGATCTCTGGGGGTGGGTGTAGGGTGGGTTTGGGGTTGGTTTGGGCTTGTTTGGCTGGTTTAAGATTGATTTAGAGATATTCAGGGTTGGCAAGGTTTGGCTTAGAGCGGGCCTAGGGTTGGTTGGGTTGGGTGCGGGGTGGGCTTAGGGTGTGTTAGGTTGGGTTCAGGGTGGGTTTTTGATCGGCTTAGGCTTAGTGTAGATCATTTCCAGACCAAAGGCTTGCTTTGTTGTATCTGTTTGTACCTTGTTGAGGGTTTGGCCATAAAAAAGCGGGCCCACACAAACCATGGCCCAAAAAGGATAGCCATTTTTGACAGCCCTCCATTTCCAGACCAAAAGGCGTACCTTGGCTGTTCTGTTTGTACCTTCTTGAGGGTTTACATCAAGTTGTTCCTTTTAACTAGCAAACAGTTTAACTTCTTGCAGGGGGTCTTAGTCTAAGGGATTAACATGTTGGAGACCCAGAGCTTCTAACAAATGATTTCTTTCGCGCTTGCACCTAGCATGCCAATGATGCTTGTTGGTTTGTGTGGCATCCCATTTTGGACCCCATTTGTCAGCCTTTCCATGGAACGAGTCAGCCACTGGAATTGGGGGAGTGGGTAATTCTGGATGATTCAAGTGGGCAGTCTCATGCCCTTCTAATATTCCTCCATTGGCTTAAGAAAAAATGTGGTGGTGGAAAAGGGAATCTATCACTACTGGATATATTTTCACATTTTTCCCAGGGGGCGAAAACGCATATTCCAAATCCTCCGGCGGTCCGAATCCCGGTTTGAGACGCGCACAAGCCGCGTTCCCCCAAAATGGCAGGAGCTGCTGGGCTATGACAGATTACAAAAGGTGCACCGCCAGGCGTGGGGTTTTAGGCGGCCAGGCGTGGGGTTCTAAGCGGCCAGGCATGGGGTTTTAGGTGGGGGGTTGATGAGGGGTGGATCCATTTTGCGTCTTGAGCCCAGCTGTGTGTGTGGGTGCGTGATGTGTGCGCGTGTTTTTGACTTAGTACTTTAAGTTGGTTTAAGGAAATATAGAAGAACGAACTCCATATGAGCCACAATCAAAACCTGGGTAGATGAAGGTTAGCAAGGGGCGATCCCAACCATAAATAGCTGCGGCCGCCTTCTTAATCCTGTACATGGTTCTGGGGATTGACCATTTTAGTACCAGGTTTTGATTGCGACTCATATTGGGAATCCCCAAATGTTGGCAACTCCCAGAAGTTTCGGGTGACAATGTTGACCCAGGATTAAACCCGTCCCAGTAGGGGGGTGCTTTGTCCAGTGATGAATCCCCACTGAAAGGGGACACCCCCTATGAATCAACCAGGGGTTTAATCCGGGGTCAACATGCCGTTTTGTTTTGGTCGATTTGGGGGGGCAAACCCTGGCTTTGTGGACCTAGATGGAGCGATCACCAATTGAACCCTCAGGCTTGAAAGCGGCATATTAACCCTCGACCCTTCTGTGTCACGGGCCGGAAAGCCTCAACCGTGTCTTTGGGCGACGCGGCACTTTGGGAGGGAAACTCCCTTCAAGGAACCAACAACGTGTTTTTTTCTTTATGGCCATTTGGCCACAGATCAGAAGCATTGAAGCCCAAGAGGTCCCTCCAGCCCAGCAGCCCAGCGACAAGCAACCTAAATGGCAGGTGAGGGTGCTTGGCACATTAGCGGAACGACAAGTTGTGCCGATATATATATATATATATATTATATATATATATATATCCTGACCTAACAAACTGAAAAATCCCTGTCTTTGTTCACTTCACCGTGTTGAGGTCCAACTAGTTGTTTTCTATTTTCCTCGGCAAGTCAGTTTAGTATGCGGGTGTGTCTTGTTTTAGTGGGCCCCAAATGGTAGTTTTCCACGTGGCTTCCCTTGAAAACCAACCAACAAGGGTACCCTCAAAAAAAGAGAACAACACTACCTCCCATGTGTTCTTCTGTGCTTGGGAGGGTGAATTCCTATTGGGTAACTTGCCATGGACATCTTGTATCCGCTGCTTTGCCTTGGTCTAGTGATGCATCTGGCATGGGCTTGTCTGAATATAAGGGATTTCCGAGAATTCTGGTTATCCGTATGTTTCCCTTTCAATCAAGACGAGCTACCCATATCCTTACAGATTCCTACGGTTTCCTTTGAATTGGGCCCGACTTGAGCTGCAAGAGCCGAGGAACAGAAAACCAGTGTCCAAGCCCTGGTGCGCATTGGACGCGTGTTTTCTGGACAATACTGCTTTGCCCAAAGCCAAGCGACCTTTTCACCTTGGGATTTTCCGCGCGTTCTGAGTCCGAGTTCGAAAAAAACCAGAGGCCTGGTTTAGTCATTTACAAGCCAAGGCGTGTGTTTTGCTTTTGCGACGCAAGGATTATGAGCCACTCAGACCCAGCGGGAGTTCATTTCCGCTGTTGGGGATGTGTGAAGGGGCTATCCCTGAGTCCATATCGTGAAGTCCAGTAGGGTCCAGTCCTTTTGACACAATGAGCTTTGATCAGCCGCTTCACTCGCCCTGAGACGCTTCGGAGTACGGGTCTTATTCACCGGTCGCTTTGAGGGTTTCAGGGAAGGCGCCTGCAGGATTTCCTTTGAAGGGATCATGATGCAGCCACAAAAGCACAGTTTGCCCCATTTCCCTTTTTGGAACCCAGAACAGTGAAAGAGTTTTGAGGGCAACCAGCAAATTGCAACTTCTGACAAAGCCCAGTTAATGAGCCGGCTTTTTCACTTTGGTGGCCTCCCAACTTGTCAACGCCTATGGCATTGCTTCTAAGGCCACTGGTCGGCTTTCCTCACCGGAAGTTGCAAAGGTGCTCGCACGCAATGTGGTCGTAAGATCCCGACTGGTGCGTCTTTTTGTTTACCCCCATTGTTTGTGGGGTTGAAGGGAAACCAAAAGGACAACCACAATTTTGGAGGGCCCTCCAAAACAGGTCAAAAATCGGTACCCAAAATGGTTCCTAGCCGGGTTCGAATGTCGGCTCGCTAACTCGTCAGGAGCGGATGTCCACCGATTCCGATGCCTTCACCGTGGCTGAGCTCCTGTCAAGCACGGTGTACCTGGGTCAAAGTATGGAAATCCGGGGTTGACCTAGATGAGTGTGCATCAACAGTAGGTACCCAAAATGGAAGCCTGGTAAATGGAAACAATGACTACAACCTGCAGTCCAATTCCTGGTGGCTTTAGCTTGACCCATCCCCAGATGTTTACTTTTTTAGGCCATTTGGCCCTGTGGTTGGACCTTCTGGTGGACGACACCCTTCTAGGGCCCCGGAACATGCTTGATCATCGCTTGCATCTGATCAATCGACCGGATCTGGTTTGCCTGTTTTGGTCCCAAAAAGTGATCACATTTGATTTTCTGGGTCCCTTCTGGGGCACCTGAGAAAATACTATTTGCCAAAGTGATGATGGTAGACAATATGTTGAAACCCAAGCAAAATGTGCTACATTTTGACCAAGCTTCACTCTCGCGAAGAACATTTGGTGCTTCAATCAGGTTTGTTCAACAGTTCCTGTCTATGAGTTGCTTGATTTCACTGATTAATTGGTAACAGAGCTTGGCCATCCGGACATGGAAGCCGATGGCGGGCTTGATGACCGGTGTCGTGTACAGATTGCTCGTCTACTTCTACCCAGTTGCCCCGTGGATTCCGCCCTTTTTCAACTTTTTTGGGAAGGGTTCCCCTTTAAAGTCAACCAACCAAAAAAGGGCTGCCCTTCTTTTCCCATGGAAATCCACTGGGCATCTGAGTCCATGATTGGCGACTCGGAGACGTTGCGTTTTGTTTTATGTGTGTCAAGCAGTTCCGCGAACATTCCGCGGCTTTTTGGCCGACTCTGCCGCCCCAAGCCAATCCAAACCATGTGGGGAGCTTGAGGTACAACGTCTTTGGCGCGGGCCTCGACAACGTGACCTCCGAGGACGAGCGAGATCTGCAGCGGCAGCTCCTCAGCTGATAGGATGGCAGCGTGCACGTCCCATAGCTGTTTGCTGTCCACCAATGTGGTGGCCGGCGAAGGGTTTTTTGGTGAAAGGTCCTAGGTCCCCCCGCTAGGTGCCCTTTCTCACCCTTTGTTTGAGGGAGGGTTCCCCCAAAATAGACTACAGAAACAAAGTTGCTGCCCTTATTCCAACCTCTCTACTGGAGGACCTAGCCAATGTGGTGGCTGGCTGGTTGTTTGGGTGAAAGATCAGTGCACTTTCCATGCCCACCAAAAAATGGGTGGCTCGTCTTTTTTAAGCTTGGACCCCCAAATGGCTTCACGCGTTTCCTGGCGGTTTCCCTGTAAAGCCATCCAAAAACGCGTGCTCAAGCAACTCCCGAATGTCCCTCTAATTTCAGGTCACCCCCGGTTGGTTGTTTGAACTGCCTGATAGACTCAGCAACTCATGTTTTTCAAATGGAGAGTATTGGTGTGGATCAGAATTGAACAGGTGCGGTTACGCAGTTTTTAGCCTTTGGTTCCCATAACCAAGGTACCATTTGTGTACCATTGTTTGAGCAGCGTTTTGAAGCAGCTACAGTACATGTTCTATCATCATTTGCAGGCCAACCATAGGGTTCGGAACGCCTGCCTTTGAATAATGTTGATTACAAGTCTGCCTGACCGCGAATCGTTTGGATAGGCATGGTTGTGGTAGGCTTGGTAGGACCTACTTAAGTAAATCCCTTCAAAGTGAAGTAATGGAGATGGCGGCTACTTATCACTCTGGGGGACACTTCCCCATTCTTTCCAGGGATCCTTCTTTCCAGAAAACCGTCAGAACCCCAGGAATAAAAACAGCTGGTTTTTGAAAAGAACGATGGTTGAAAAGAATGGAATTGGAATCAACCCCTAGAATCGCGTGAGTCTCCTCCGAGGTTTATGGATGTCTTCACCTCCTCGCTGCCTGCAGTTCGCTCCGCGGAGTCCGACATCATGATGCAGTTGCAGTACACCCGGCGACTCGGCACACTCGGCGAATCTGGGTCTGACTTTGGCTTTCCGGTCGAGATCAAAACCACTCACGGATTCTGGCATTGAGACATGTTTAACGATGGTTGGGTTAGTAGAACCACAATTGCTAACCTAAACAGATGTCATCCAAGTGGGGTCCTTGCCGTTTTTGTAAAGAGGTGAACCCTAGGGCCGCATGAGGTCATTGGCACGTGGTAAACGCATGGCTAGATAGCCAAGTTGCTGCGTGTTTCAGTCACCGTTGCTGGTTTTTGGGGTAAAGTGGATGGAACAAAGCAGCAACCGGCGACCCAGGTGGCTTCTATATGCAAAGTTCAGTCGGCTGTCGCCTTTTGTTTTTGGCTTCAACGGTGTTTCCAGGATAAGGCGCGGCTGGTTACCCAACAGCTTTTAGCCTTTGGGCTCGCTCATTCCCGCGATCGGAGACATCGGCGCATTGGCTCAGCTCGGAGCGTGTCTCAAGGGATATTCGGACATGGCATGAAGAAGTAAAAGACCACCATCCCATTTTCTTGGTGCTCAGTAGGGAATGCCTTGGAAGGAACACGTTGGAAACCACCCGTTGGATGGTTAGACGGGGCATTCCACATCCCATTCCCTGCGAATCTCTCACGGCGAGCGCAAGGGGTGGCTTCCCCAGAGTTGGACCGTCGAATCACCCAGGACCGGCGAAACAGACTCCAGGTCCATAGCTATGAAAGCCCAATTGGAAGCTTTCGGGGGTCCCTGTCATGAGTTTCATTGGCTGAAGAATGGATAGGTATACCAATTTCTTTGTGGCTCCAACGGCTCCAAGAGGTGATCACCTTTCCGTTGTGGGTTCTAAAGGGGCAACTGGGAAAAGGGTCCCTTCCGTTTGCTGAAGAATATCCGTTATTTTTCCCTGTTGGCTCTAAAGGAATTTGTCGTGTAGGACATATGTGAAAATATGTCCAAAGAACGTATTCGCAAACGGAGGACGAAGCGCCACTAAGTCAAACAGGAGCTAGGGGTTCAAACTCCTGTGTGGTGGCTCAATGCATACGTTTAGCCTTTGACAACGCACCAGCTTGAGCTTCACGGCTCCACAGTGGTCCATATTTAGTCAGGGTCCCAAGGGGTGCGTTGTCTAAGGCTTGATTCCATCTTCCATTCTTTCCAGCCATCGTTTTCGAAAACCGGATCCGTTCTCCCTGGGTTTCCGGAGGTCTAGAGTATTTGGATTGGGTTCAGAATGGAATTGGAAAGGTAGCACTTGAGCTTGAGCTTCACAGTACCCTCACTTGTTCGCTTAGCGAATCGACCTGATCTGACCGTTTGCTTTCTCCACATGCTTAGTCAGGGTCCCAAGGGTTAGCCTGTTGCTAGTGGATTCTTAGGGCAACTGAGCAGCACCGTCTGGGCCAGTCAATCTAAGGGTGGCAGTACACACCCCTTGTTCATATGCCTTGGCTTCTCTGGTTTCTAACCCACTTTATAAGGGGTATATACCTCTGTTGGAGAGGGGGATATGAACATCAGCAGGCCTCTCAGGGTTCATTGTTCCAAGGGGTATGTAAAAGGGGTATGCCTTGGCAACCCTGGAGTCAAGCAAGAACAATGCAAGTTGATTTAGAGGCTCCCCTTGTTCAGCAGGTTGTGTTTGGGACGTATCCACCAGCTCTAGAACCAGCTGCTTGTTGACTGGATCTACTAGGCCCCGCAGCTAGGCCTTTTTTGGGGGGAGGGTTCCCCTACTAAAATAGACTAGACAAAAAGTTGGTGCCCTTATTCTAACCTCTCTACTGGAGGCCCTAGTCTACACCGGCTTGTATTTGGGTGTTTTTTGGCTCGCTCAGCCCTTGTTTGAAAGGAACCCGCGTCCGCCGTGGGTTTGGATGGATTGAACTCCAACTCATCCGGGGGCGACTGATTTTGGGGTAGGTGTCACTTGCCTGAGTTGGCAAGATTAAACAACTTTGAGCTGGTAGGCTTGTATTCTCAATCCCACGAACATGACACCTGACTTGGGGTACCTTTAAGAGGAAACTGATCTTTCAGGTACCCTCCCATAAATGCTATGTTAGTGGGAGGAAGGGTATCCATCGTTTGAGTCAAGGTCCAAACCTTTGTGTTTTATTTGGTCAGATAACTTATAGCAGCTTTGCTAAAGGAACATTCCAAACGGAACCGCCGATTCACCGGGGAGAGACGATGAGGCGCTTCCTGCAGCAGATGCTGGAGGTGGCGGAGCAGCGGCTCGGTACGGATCCCGGCTGGAGGCGGGTCCTCGGTCGGTCCGAGCACTTTGTCGGAGGAGTTCGCGGGGTTTCGCGGCGCAAGAGAAGTTCTTCTTTGATTTTTTTCCTTTTGGTTTGCCTTGGAACACCAAGCAAAGGGCCGTTTTTCTTCCTTTTCCCCCGGAAAGAAAAAAACAAATCCCCAGCCATCCGATTCCAGAAGGCTTTTTAGATCTTGTACGTCCCCCAGGGCCCTTGGACCAACTTTTATTCGGGAAAGTTCCCCTACTAAAATAGACTACAGAAAAAAAAGGGTACCAACTTATTCAAACCTCTCAAATCTGCAGGACCTATCCAGTGGATTCCGCCTCTTTTTTTTCCGACTTTTCGTTGGGGAAAGGTTCCCCTTTAAAGTCAACCAACCCCAAAAGGATGCCTTTTTTTCCATGGCCACTGGGCATCTGAGAACTCAAAAGGGCTTCTTGTTTCGGTTCTCCGTTTGGTTTTCAATGGTTGTCAAGCAAAGGGCCCTTTTTTTCCTTTTCCCCGAGAAAACAATAGACACATCCCCGCCAGCCATCCGATTCTATGTCCATTGGAAGGACTGGGCCAGAGTTGTTTTGATTGCTATTGGGCAACGGGTCTTTAGACTTTAGCCTTTTTGGGTGATGCAATCACTTGATTTTGTTTGGGTGGTTTTCCATTTAACCCTGTAGACTAAAACGTGATCAGCTTTGTACAATTACTCGAAAGTTGTTTTCCGGTTTTACACACTTGAAAATTGTTTACCGGTTTTACACAAAAGTGAACGACTTGTTGCAATCGCTTGAAGTTGGCTGGGTGGTTTTCGATTTCACCCCTAGACTAAAATGTCAACAGTTGTTTTAATCACTTTTTGTGGGTGGTTTTCCAGTTAACCCTGTAGACTAAAAAGTGATCAGCTTTGTGCAATTACTTGATTATTGTTTACCGGTTTTACACAAAAGTGAACGACTTGTTGCAATCGCTTGAAGTTGGCTGGGTGGTTTTCGATTTGACCTCTAGACTAAAATGTCAACAGTTGTTTTAATCACTTTTTGTGGGTGGTTTTCCATTTAACCATTGCTTGAAAATTGTTTACCGGTTTTGCACAAAAGTGAACGACTTGTTGCAATCGCTTGAAGTTGGCTGGGTGGTTTTCGATTTGACCCCCAGACTACAATGTCAACATTTGTTTTAATCACTGTTTGTGGGTGGTTTTCCATTGAACTCTGTAGACTAAAAAGCGATCAGCTTTGTGCAATTACTTGAAAATTGTTTTCTGGTTGTCCATTGAACCAAACAAGTGAACAACTTGAGGTTTTGGGGTGGTTTTCCATTGAACCCACAAAAAGTGAAAAGGCTTTTTGCAATCACTTCAAGCTAGTTGGTTCATGATTCCTGAAGACGATGCATACGAGTTAGATGTCCAAACGGTTGCTTGGACCTTTTGGCTTGGATGAGCCAGCAGGATGCACATCTTTGCCGGGTGTCCTCGTCAGAGGCGTTTTTTTGGGCCACCCCCGATTTTTTAGCGCCGAAAGTCGCGCCGGGGTCGTTGACTGCGGAATGTCCGCAGGTCCTGTGCCGGCTTCAACGAGACGTGCGCCTGCGAGGCGCGGATTTTTTTTCAGCCCAGCACTTGAGAGAACCTCCCTGTAGCTTTGGGCGTGTCTTTCGTTGAGGGTAGCCCTTGTTCTCGCTTCCTGAGCTCATGGACTTTCGTCACTTGGGTTTGGACCCAAGAGAACAGTTCACGCCCTTTTTGGCTAGGCCGCTCAGGATGTGAGAGACGATGTTTTCATTTTCCCTCGTTTTAAGGGGAACCTCTGGATGGACGACATCCATGGGAAAACTTTGAGATGGAACCCCTGGGCGCAGCTTTATGCCCGACCCGGACATTTCCCGAACAGCCCCAAGCATGGGAACTGGCACATGTTCACCTTGTCTAAAAACAAAAGCAAATGGGGTGTCCCCCAGTTTTCATGAACTCAAGCGATAGTTCCCACCCACTCATCGGCACTTTTTGCCATGCTTTGCGACAATGGGGTGCTGCTGGGCTCTAACATGGGTGGGTGTGCGTGTGTATGTGTTTGTGCGCGCTATTGTTTTAGGGTACCTTTTTCACCTTGGTTTCGCGGCAGACCAAAGGAGCACCCGCAACTTCAGGGGGTTGCCCGCGCTTTGACACATGAACCCGCCCACGCAAATGCAACAGTGCGGCGCACTTATATAGGAGAGCATATATCCCTTGCCCAACTTTGTTCAACCGCGAGAAGTGGTGGCTTGCGAGTGTTCCAACACCCGGGTGAGTAATTCGCACCTTTGTTGCTTCTTTGACATGGGAAATATGCCGGTTTCCCCTTAGGCCTACTCCCTGATCCACCGCCAACAAAACGCGTTGCCCCTGCTTTCCCACTGCCAATCTGCAGGGATCCCGTCAGATAATTTCGGAATCGTAAGTTGACAAAAGTCATGAAGCATGAAACAACTGGGAATCAACTGAGAAAAAAGCAAGTTCCCCCCCCCAAAAAAAGCACAGGAAGCCAGGTATGAAGAACCCCAAATTAACTTAGGATCAATAAAAAAAATCGGGGTCAAAAACAAATTATTCCACACCATGTGAAGGAGAAGGCAGTTCGCAAGTTAGTATCCGGCGCACCCTGAGCAAAGGACATTTAGTAAGTCAGCATATGGTGATTAGTTTGCAAATTCGTAGGTGCGCCAGTCAGAATAAGTCAGTAAGTTAGCGTCAGCCGGCCAGCGAGTCAGTCAGCTTGCAAGTTAGTAGGTGCGCCAATTAGTAATTTAACATGGTAGAATGGAACCGGAGCAGGGGGAGACTGCTGTTACTACTACCACCACCACCACCCCCAGCACTACTACTACTACTACTACTACTACTACTACTACTACTACTACTACTACTACTACTACTACTACTACTACTACTACTACTACTACTACTCTTGCTACTGACAGTACTGCTACTTCCGTTGCACTACGGGTACTACTACTACTACTACTACTACTACTACTACTAGTACTGGTAAACTATCGCGAGTAGTACTAGTAGCGCTGTGCTTGTAGTACTACTACTGCGGCTACTGCGACTATTGCTACTACTCTTACTGCTAGTAAACTGCCACTACTGCTACTACTGCTACTGCTACTGCTACTGCTACTACGACTACTACTAGATTCTGAGTTGCCGAAACAGTTCAACCCAGTTGCAGAGCATCTTGAAACTGCTGGAACACCGGCTCTTCTTCGTACATGTGCACCGTCAAATTGGTCCCGAAAACATGGCCTGGCCGGCCTGCCAATTCACCAAGTCCCGTTTCAATGCTGGCTCGGGGTGGGATCAGCGAGTACGCCATGCGTCCACTACCCCACGGACGGTAGTGCAGCGCTAGTTGAGCACTAGTACTAGTGCTACCTACAACTTCTACTAAGTACTGCGACGACGACGACTGCTACTACTACTACTAGTACTGCTCTTGCTACTGCCAGGACTACTACTTTCGCTGCACAACAACAACTACTACTGCTACTACTACTGCTACTACTACTACTCCTGGTGAAACTATTGCTAGTGGTCCTCGTAGCGCTGTGCTACTACTACTACTACTACTACTACGACTACGACTACTACTCTACTGCTACTACTACTACCACTACCACTACCACTACTGCTACTGCTACTGCCACTACTGCTCCGATTACTGTTGCTACTGACAGTACAATTACTTCCGTTGCACGACTACCACTACTACTACTACTACTACGACTACTATTACTATACTACTACTACTACTACTACTACTACTACTACTACTACTACTGCTACTGGTGGTGCTAATAGTACGAGTAGCTCTACTTGAGTACTAGTAGAACTTGTACTACTTCCACGACCACTACTATTGCTACTACGCTTGCTACTGCTATCACTTCTACCACTACTACTACTTCTACTACTAGTACTACTGCCACTGCTACTGCTACTGCTACTGCTACTACTGCTACTACCGCTACTACTACGTCCACGGCTGTTACTCGTAGTACTTGTGCTACTACTACTCCTACTATCACTACCACTACTACTACTAGTGCTACTACTACTACTACTACTACAACAACTACTACTACTACTATTGCTACTGAAGTACCAAATCGACGACGACTACTACTGCGACAACTGCTACTACTACTACTACTACTGCTACTGCTACTACTGCTACTTTTACGAGTGAGACTACACTAGTAGCGCTAGTCGAGTACTAGTACTATCGCTACTACTTCCACGACCACTACTACTGCTACTACTCCTATCACTGCTACTGCTAGCTGTTTAGCTTTTTTGATCCTGAACTATTTTGTTTGATCCTTCAGCCACCCTCCCCATGTTTTCCGAGAATTCTGCCCCTTGCCTCGCCAGGGCTTGCTGCGGCTGGGCATGGACGACGTGAAGTCCACTGAGCAGTGGGGCGCGCGGCGCTGCACGCCCCAGCTCTTTGGACTGGAGGCGGGGGCTATGGGTCTGGCACAACTTGTTCATAGGCCCGCTGCATGAATGATCTACATGTATATACATATGGCTGTGGCTCAAAATTAAACAGGGGGGTTACGCAGGTTTTGGTCCATGTTTCCACTTACCAGGGTTCCATTTTGGCACCGGTTTTTTGAGCCACAGCCATATCGGTTATATATTTATATGTGTGTATACATATCTATACATATACATAGTTGTATGCACGCATACTGATATATATATATATACATCTATTATATACACATACATATTGACATAACTTCGGATCAGCCGGAGCCAGTTTCTCCAACAAATTGCAAGCAACCATTAGTTTTGTTTATCACAATTTTGTCTTGGACTTTGGTTCTGCATTTCTGCGGTTGGACTGTTGGTGGCTTTAAACTTGACCTGTTCGCTTGCGAATATCATTGCAGTGGATGGGACCAACCTACTGTAGGCCCTCAGAGGATAAGGGGGGTTGATCAAAAGGTCCGGTCAACATGGGATGACCATTGGGGAAACCCATTAAAAGATGACTACATGGGAAAAGTTACCCATGGCCATTTGGGGGCCAGGAATATTGATCAACCCCCATATCCATTTCTTTCTGAAATATTGGTGAGTGATATCCATTTACATTTGTTGCGTTTTTTGGTCGGTTTTGTTGAAGATAGGCGGCACTGGTTGCAGGTTGGTTGTAGTCAGTTGCCAGTGTTATCTACTTTACCAAAAGGAGACTAGGCCCCCAGTAGTGCCCTTTCACCTTTTTTTTTGGGGGGGAGCGCTCCCCTACTAAAATAGACGAAACAGAAAAAGGGTACCTTGATTCCAACTTCTGCTGGAGGACCTAGGAGAGACATGCCCGCTTATTTAATGGCCTGCGGCCTGGTTCCGCCGCCCCCAGACACCTTAGAATTGCACAGACCCGTTCGCGGACACGAAGACAGACGCAGAGACGTAGACAGACACAGACAGACACAAAGACACGCAGACAGACACGCAGCGAGGGGGAGGGTCTTCGCGGACACGAAGACAGACGCAGATGCGTAGACAGACACAGACAGAGCCAGACAGAGACAAATAGACACACACACACACTTAAACTCCAGATGGAGAGTGCTAATCTTTCGAGTACAACTGATGAGTCTCGAGTACAACCGATGAGTCTCGAGTGGGTGTGGGTTCAGCTCGCAATGCACTCGGTTTCACTCTAGTGTCGAAAACGTTACCAGTTCCAACATGAAGCACACACAGCGAGCGAAAGGAGAGGGCCAAAAGGACTTTCATCAACATCACTTCACAAATGCAGGTACACACGGGTGATCAATCCGTGCATCCACCATCAAGCATAGCTTCGTTGGCCAGCGTTTGCTTGATGGCCGCTGGCCCCCTGCTGAGAAACCTAAAAGGTGGTGACAGGGCATTCTG